GTAGTAGTAGTAGTAGTAGTAGTAGTAGTAGTAGTAGTAGTAGTAGTAGTAGTAGTAGTAGTAGTAGTAGTAGTAGTAGTAGTAGTAGTAGTAGTAGTAGTAGTAGTAGTAGTAGTAGTAGTAGTAGTAGTAGTAGTAGTAATAGTAGTAGTAGTAATAGTAGTAGTAGTAGTATATATAAATAGTAGTAGAAGTAATAATAGTAGCAGTAGTAATAATACTGGTAGCAGCCAATGCCTAATAAAGGGTTGGATAATAGAATTGGGATGCTGTATAATGTCTCCCCAAAAAATATATAACGAAAGTTGCTGCCTTCCTTTACCAAACGCCAGATGTATGCTCTCTCATTGACAGTCGTCCTCTTCAAATACCTACCTCATCTTCATTGAGGAGCTCCAAATCGCTGTCATGTCTTCCCTTCAACCCCTTTGTTCCCATTTGACTCTGGATTTTACCTCTGCGTACCGTTGTTCTGAGAATTATCATGTCCTTCCTGGATATCGGCAGCACGTTCGCTCGAAGCCCCCTAAGAATCCTCCAGGAACCTCTGACTCAAGTACAAAACCTGCTACAGCTCTTCCTTCATCAAATCTATCGCATCCCTCGCTTTCCTCCTCTACTCCATCTGGCCTCTCCCCGCGACTTTCGGCACAAAGCGCGTGAATAGTCTCGCGGGCAACCCGCAGCGACTCAGTGACTCTATCAACCTCATCACGCAGCTCTGATAGCCACGCGTCGCGAATAGCCAGAGCTACGCCGTCGCTGCCTCCTGATGATGCTCGTGTTCTGTGAAACTAGTCTCGGTGGAGCTCATCTCGTTGAGGAGCTCTGCGGCTTGCGCGACTGCTTCTTCAATCTTTGCCTCGAGCTCGGCAATCGTAGCCTTTTTGGCGCTGAGTAGTTCCTCGCTTGACTTTGCTGAGCAGCATGCGTGTTTAATGACTCGCGATGCTCCTTCTCCATACGCTGTATCAGTCCTTCGAGCTCTGTTATATCGCGGACGTAACCATCAACGGCGCCTTTGAGTCGGTCGTTGCCAATTTCAAGCTCCCTAATCCGAACCTCTTTCTCATTCAAAGTACGATATGCGTCGGCAATTTTGATATTGAGCTCTTCCATCACAGAAGTCCGCGAATCAAGCTGCTTGCGTAAAGAACGTTCTATTTGGTGATATTCATCAATCGAATCTTCATCTTCCCTTGTCTTTTTTGACTGAGTGCGTAGGCGATCTAGCAGTAGATCCAATATGTCGGCACCTCGCGCAGTAAGAGGTACTTTGATCTCTCCTGGTGCGAGGTCCTCCAGTTCAAGGCGGGCGGCTCGAAACCCAGAAGCAAGCGACATAATCATTTCACTGGCGTCGATGCCTGGAAAACCCAGTTCGCTGATAATAGCGGTAAGATGTGCAACTGCTGCAGCTCGTTCAGACATGGTCTGTAAGAGTAGCTGAACCTGATTCTCGACTGGTTCAAGGGAAGATGAGGTCCCTCTTTTCTCCAAAGTCCCATCTGATAGGGCGTCGCTTATGCGCACACCCAAGGCATTGTACGAGTTCAGAGTTGCTGTCAGCTTCTGTACTTCAAGCTCCAAAGATGTAATCTCATCTTGTAGCTGTTTCCTGTCCGCTTCCAGAGGGGCATCCGACGTTGGTGACATATCTTTAGAGAATGGCGATATAGGCCTTGCCGGACTTGTTGCAGGAGGAGTCAAGATAGAAGGCCTCGCTCGAGGCAGAGTGTTGATCAGCGCTGTCATATCACCGAAATGGTCCTCATCTCGAGCCACGTCCATGAGGTCATTCGTTGATGCAATGCTTGGTGTCGATGGCCATTCGCAGCTAAAATACTGTGTAGCTTCCTCACTTGCTATGCTTCTTGTCGCAAGCTGACCTTTGAGATCTTTGATCTGTTGTTCCAGGTCCCAAATCCGCTCTGTATCAAACACCATCGTGGCATTCTGCATTCTATAGATTTCCCTATCACGGGCTCTGAGCTCGGCCTTGAGCTTGGTAATCTGCGCCTTGGCCAACTGCTCGCTACGCCGCTTCTCTTCCTTAATTTTACTGAGCATATCGCGGAGGCCCTTCCGGCGTACCCGGCGCTCAACTCGTCCCTCAATTGTCTGATGAAGATTGACAGCCGCGGGTTCGCCACTTAGCCGAGGAGCTGATCCAGCACCACTTGCGGGGGCGGCTGACCGTTTATTCGAAGCCGTGAGAGAAGTGTGCCGCACCATTGGTGTAAGACCGCTCGGAGGTACGATGGATCCGGGGTCAGAGTGCCGCGCGCCTCTCTTTCTTCGGTTAGGGGTCCTAGGACCTGTCGATGGAGCCTGATGCTCTTCCGATCTGACATTCATGGTCGGACTGCATCGCCGGCCTCGGCGTAGCGCAGTAGAATGGTCTGAATCCTCCATTATGATGAGATCTGCACTAGTTTTGGCTTCTCTCTTTCTGATATTGGCATTAATTCACTCTTGGACGCGTGATGAAAGCGTGAGCCCGACCAAATGGCGGGCAAACAAAACGGCATGGCGCATCTATACAATTTATGGCACCACCAACTTCCAGACAGCATCCAACAGCAACAACCCACATGAATGCATACTTGTCCTAACCTAAGAAACCGCGTCAGAAACCTACCCCTCATCTGCCACAACCGTGTCCGCGCATTGATTCGTGTAGCCCTTGCAGCAACCCATGCTCAAGCCGGCACTCCTTTTGTTTACATGTTGCCTGCTCGAGTTTAGCGCCCGAATGGATCGGCCAGCCGGCCCCGCTGCCTCCGGCGCAGCTCTATGTTTTGTCTCATTTGCGTGGTGTCTTTCCAATTGCATAACATCTCATAATGAACATTAATTTTTGATTGAGATGTTGAAAGAAACACATGAGATGCAAACAATCCGTGTGCTCTCTCGTCCATTTGGGGCAGAATCAGGACACTCTCATGTGGATTAAACCGACTGTTACACTTGCTACACGTATCCATCACAGAGAAAGGTAACTACACAAACAGCGCAGCATTGAGTATAGGTAGATGTACAATGTTAATCAAGAAGCGGGTACGAGACTGAGACAGGGTTAATCGAGAAATGACACTGTATTGCTATCACGGCATGCAGCCAAGTCTATCAGTCCAACTGAACTAACAAGAGATAATATTGAGGTTACCAAACTTAGAAGCAGCAAACGCGACTTCTATATAGCTGAAACCACTAAATGCTTCTATTAATCAGTCTTAGATAGCCGTGTTGACAATTCCATCAACCTTCCACTGCCATCCATCGGTATCCAACCTAAACACCACAATGTCGCTCCCGGATTTCGCATACACGGTCTTGTTATCATTCGTCGCGAAGCTGTCAAAGTCCATGTCCACGTCAAATCCAGGCCCTACAATCCTCGGGATGTCAACACCCACGCGATTCTCCTCGATCTTTTCTCTGAAGCTCATATACAGCAAAGCGAACTCGTACGGAAGTGTTTGTGCCGGATCTTGGCTTCTGCCATGGCCGGTACGAACCCACGCTAGTTGGCTTAAATGCGAGGATAAGTAAACACCTTTGCCATGAGAATCTAGACCATAGAACTCAGTTAGCATTACCAGCATGTAATTGGCGCGCCCGCCCATCATAATCGCAGAGTTACTTACCCAAGAAAGTTTTGTCCAAGAAATGACATTCGACTTTCTTCTTCATGGACACGTGAAAATCTACTGAACATTCCCAAGGTGTTATTTCTTCGCTCTCTTCAATCGCCATCAATAATCCACTAAACGAGCCGTCGGAATCGTGCCTCTTATTTTGCCAATCGCCGCAATGGCATGGCCAACGCCTCCCCAGTCTCCAACATCGTGACGCCCCGTAAAAGAGTCAAAGTCCACCGAATACCAATTATTGTCGTTTTTGGGGTCTTCTGATATTGCAAGCTGCAACTTGCTTCCCGGATCCTGATACGACAATACCACAACGTTTGTGTCGTGTTCACCTCGGTGGAACGCCGCTGAGAGCATCGACTTCTCATGCGCCGCGGGGCCCTTTTTGCTACCGGCGGACAGGCCTCCACGAGTCCAGCTGCCTTTGGGCTGCATGAAGATATGAGAAATAGTATTATTCTCTTCAAGATAGAACAAATGCGCAGTGCTGGTATCGTCTGCCACAGCGGCCAAAGAAGTTCCTTTCTTCGCTTTCGGTGCATCTTTAAGTGAATCTTGAATGCGTTTCTGGCCTTGAAGATTGGACTCCCCATTCACGTAAGAAAGAGATCCTGTTTCGTCTTGCCAGACTAGGATCTCTAAGCTATCATGGCTATTTTCACCGTCAACGAAAACGGAAGCCAGGTTCGATGACGATAAAATAGAAGGCAGGCTTGAAGAGAGAGGTGCCTTGGTCGCTGTTGTGGTTATCGATGATGGTCCGCTCACGGATGTAGTCAATGATGAAGTCCTATTCGTCGCATTCAACATACTTGGTAGAGTCAAAGGCGACGTAGCCATCGCCGTTACAGATTGAGTTATCGTTTCCTTTGGATGTGTCTTTAGCATCAAAGCCGATTTTCGAGTCAATTTCATTACCACGATTATACAGCTGATGAAGGCCGAAATTACTGCCATGAGTATTGTAAATGGAAGCATCTTCTTTTTATAATACCACGGTTTTCGAGGAGGATCTCCTTGTAGCTGGTAGTAATGGTCACGCGCGGAGATTGGCTGCCCGTCTCTGGATCTCGCCGAGGGAGCTTCCGCGGTGGCTGAGAGAGGCACTTCACGCATCGTCGGCTGACTTGGTTGCTGCATTATGTAAGAAATGTCGAATATGGGCATCATGTTGAAAGATTTTGACGGTGCTATTCTGCTACGACGTTTGAAGTTAAGTAGGCGACTTTTGAATGTATAAGTGGCAAGGAAGCTGCGAGATTGTATACGAGTGAAACTGAGAAAATCATGGTCAGTGGGATCAAGGGCACAATCAGCGTCCAGCGTCAATTCCGATATTGAGATTGATATACATATGTCGCAGTGATGGAGTGAGCAATCAACAAGCATGAAGGCGGTCACTATTGAGTATCCTGATAAAGGGGAGTTTGTGAGCTCACATATAAGCCTATTCCGGATAAAAAGTAACAGTGATGGCGGTCACTGGAGCTTCTGTGTACACCACCTACCTGTAGTCTTAGGAATAATTGACACGTGTATGTAACATTAGTGCACCTAACAAATAGGTATCTATTTCTTTGCTTCATTCACGACATCTACTTGGAATTGTTTCACCAAATGACGTAAGCTAGATCGATATAGGATATGTCAACACTCAGATCGAAAGGAAACAGCCCGATGGGAAAGGCCATGCCTGTTAGAAGTGAGCCAACAGTAGCCAATTTCGAGTACTCTTTTGAGCCGTTGATGGCTTTCAAGAGTCATGAGTGCTTTTAACATCAACCATCTACTGAAATTAGCGGATGATAAAAGCCATTGAGATCTGGTGCTGTGGGACAAAATGGCAAAGGACTGGAATATGAATTAATAAAGACTGCCCGATGTGATGACTAATACAAAATCGATACCTATCTGCCTTGAAATGCCCCATCGCAAAGGGCGCTGTAACGTTCAGTGAGGCAGAGCCTGAGCCAATTCCGCTTCAGCTCACCGAGCAGCCGTAAGAGCCGCCTGACTAACCGCGCTGTCAAGGACCATTTAAGGCGCCTGCATTACCACCGATAACGCCTAAAGTCTCGGGGCCAGGCCCATAATACACGAATTCGTGACTCGCATACTTCTTCAGCCTCATGTCTGCATTATCACATCAATATCAACTCTTAACACTAACAGCTAATTACAGCAGCGCAACACCAAGCTCATCCTATCATAGGAGAACAGGAAAATGACGGCGGTGGCAGGTGCCGAATGACGCATGCAAGCAATGTAGAAGCCATGTCTGCGCCGGCACGCAAAGTTAAGTTCGTCGCGTCAGATCCCGCTCGTGGCGGTTTGCCTGTCAAGCGACGACAGGTCCAGCAAGCCTGTGAATCGTGTAGACGGAAAAAGGTAATCCCAGGTCTTTGACTCGAATTCGTCGAGTTTCACAACATCTGTTGCTAACGGCCTCGTGCGGTTGGCAGCGAAAATGCAATCACGCGGAAGACGCCGCCGCGGACGATTTCTCGCTGGATGACCACAAAGGTCTGCCAGAGGCGTCACCTTCGCAGTCCTCGTGAGTCCTTGTCACTCCTCACAGTAGCACCAAAGCATCTCAGCACGCTGGACGCTGGACGCTGGGCGCTGGACGCAGACGTTGACCAGATCTAGGGCCTCCATATCGTCTCTCACGCCCTCGGTTCGTGCGAGATCGCTTGCCGGCGAAGATGGCGTGCCATCAGTATCCAGGGTCAGTCTGAGCTCTGACGTGTCTCCCATCGCACGGCGTTCTCTTCCGACGGGCTTCAGCCATGTAGAAGTGCCTGCAAATGCGCCTGCTACTCCCCAGCTTGCACCGGATGCTGCCAACAGACCTCAGTCTTCGCGCTTCGTGGGAGACTTGAACCCGGAAGGCATGTTCATGGAAGCTGCGGTTCCCAACGTGACTCGGGCCTCGTCACAGAAGGGAGACGTTGGTATCTGGTTTCCAGCCGCCACGACCGGACAGCAGTCTCAATTCATCACCTCTCGCCCTCCGCCGCTCATGGACAGCTTTATGCTTCCTTTTGTTCGGGAGCACTGCCTGACTTGTATGCCCCCTGAACAAGATTATGCCAGGCTAAAAGCGACCTTTTTACAAAAAGTCCACCCCGTTTTCCCCGTCATCCCAGAAGCCGCTCTTAGCGGACCTACGGATAACCCTGCCCACATCGCCCTACGACAGCTCGCGTGTTTGGCAGCCGGCTCTGATCCAGAGATGGTGTCGCATCTGCGGCTGAAAAACAAAGGCCCTGGTCTGCTGCGTCCTGCAGAATTCTCCACCATACTCTCCTCTTCGGTCCGTGCCATGTTGGAAACCAGCATTATTCCAGATCGAGTAGTACACATACAGGCACTCACCATGCTCTCCCTCTACACTCAGCCCACCTGCGCCGAGGAATCCGATTTGCCTGCCCAGCTTGGTGGCAGGGCGATACACCACATCCAGACGCTCGGCCTGCATCTTCTTCGCTACGACGGACCGAATTATGGCGACTTGGAAAATCTCTTTTGCGCAGTGTGGGCACTGGACAGAATCAATGCTGCCATGTATGGGCGGCCATGTTTGATCCACGAGCGAGACATTGGAGCGGACCTCGATGCTTGCATCAAGAAACGCCCGCCTGCCTTTCGGCTCTTACTATCCGTGGCACAATGGCTGGATAAAGTGGTGGAACTATACCGCCCAGGCCCCAGTGCCCAAGTTTCGGGGTTTGATAAAGTGGCGTATATCGACCTTCCCGTTCTTGAAGCAATGATTGTAGATGCAGATGCTTTAAAAGTTCCGGCATCTCTCATTGGTAAGCTCCCCTCATGTCGAGTGTAGTGATGCCATTTCATGTCTAATTAACTAATAGCTACCGTCGAAACGTTCTACCATGCGGTCATCATCTTATCGTGCCGGCTGCCACGGCCAGGGACAATAATCGCAGCCTCAACATTACCACCGCCATCCGCCAATGCTCGGCGGTCTCTAGCAGCCGAGCGTATCGCATGCGCAGTACCAAGAGACTGCCTTAGCTCGCTTCCTTTTATTCCCTACGCAGTATCTCTTGCTCTGAGCGTCGAATATCGAAAGATGAGACACAGCCGGTTACCCATGTTTCGCGCACGAGCAATGAATGCTTTCAGGCGAAACTGCGATCTCCTTCGAGTCTACGGAGACCACTTCTGGAGTGCCCGCGTTGTTTCCGGACTTGGAGAGCGCGTCTTGAGAGAGATGGAGCGCGCGGCCAATACTTTAGCCAAAGAGCTCAGCCCTCAGCCGGCCGACGTCCCAGCCAAGTTAACGGTTGATGAGCAAGAGGGATCAACTGCTGCACAAGATTTGGGAACAGCGGTATCATCAGGCGACACTACAACTATCAATTCTGCTGCGGGCTTTGATAACGTCATTGACTTTTCCATGATCAATTCCATCTCTGGCCAGGATGTTTTTGGGCACATTGATCCCAACTTCAACCTGGATGCTGTGGAGGATGCTCTAGAAGCAAATCTGGACATTGGCCTCCCCTTTAACTGGGCAGACTGGGGTCAGTTTGCTCAATATTAAGCATTGCTTGTGATAGAGTAGATGGGAGGAGCTCATCTATACGTAATTGTGTAGTATACTAATGTGCATTGATGTGCAAACAAGCGAGGATATTTGCTCCAATGGGAAGGCGTTCTCAGGATATCAGTTAATACCAATCCGTCAAACAAATTAGGCGTCATAGGCGTAATAAATAAATTGGACATGTATAATATTCCATGTAGCCATCGCTATCTGCTTTTCAAGATGAAAAAAAGAAGAATAGAGGAGAGAGGAAAAAAAATTGCCTTTCGGGAAGAATAGAGAATAGCATCAAAAAGAAATATTCTCCGATACTGGGAATCGAACCCAGGGCTGCTCGGCACTCGATTAATGAGAGCGAGCGATGTTAGCCACTACACCATATCGGATGCGTTGTTATTGAAAGCGGCTTCGCTATTGAGGACTATACAGTGCAAAACAAAACTAGCCACAAAAGCTACCATGTTCTAAGCAAGCTACAATCAATGAATCAAAATACCCATAATCACGGCATGTCGTATCAGAACACAGCCCGTTTACAACATTCGGAAAACCACTACCACGAAGAAAAACAGAGTGGATGCCAATCAGCCAGAGTAGAGAATAAATTTAGAAATTGGTACATGTTTTGCGCTCAGGGTATCAAGTGAATACATTCATATCGACGCCATGTGTCTTTCAGACTTATCGACCGTGTCATATCAGGAACAAGTAGCTATACGCCTCGCATATGCAGCATGTGAGGTTAAATGCCAACACATCCTACGACCTTTTTTTCAGGCCTTCCTTTCCATATCATGTGAGGTAGGTAGTTGCGTATGTGAACAGGCCAGCGCGAAGTATGGTATGGCCGTTCACGAACGTCGTAAAGAGGGTCAGGATTTGCCCTTTGGAGCTCTGAGTCATCGGTGCAGAGCACTCAAGATGTGATGCTCGTCTTTGGTTCTTTGGTTATTCGCCCCGGTGAATCCGCAGGGCAGCTTTTATGGATTTATATCGTTGGCCGGCCTGCCGTATATTTTTTTCGATCCTATTGCGATCGGAGTGACGTAGAGCATTCTGCTTCGATTCCAGGAATATGTTCCTTCAATTTTTGGGAAGCTTGTTAGATATATCAGTTGGTCTCCCGCGCGCCTGGTTCCTCAGTTCGCCGAGAAAATGTTGAAGAAATCCGTCTGGTCGATTACCCGGGTTGGGATCCGCTATAACGGACAGTCTCGTCAGCCCCAGCACTTGACGTTATACGCCGCTCCTTATAGGGTCAAAGAATCTTCACCTGTAGCTTCTCCCGGTGCCAGCGGCTCGTGTGGATTCCGGCCGTACTGTTTCTCGTTGATCGCGCGATGGATGCGGCCGACGGCCCGGTGGAAGCCTGGCACGCGGAGAATCTAGAGCCAGTCAGCGTGAATCCATCAGCCAGTTTCAGCGGAGGAGTAGTTGTGCGCTTACCGATTCGACGATTCTATCCTCAAAGGCCTGGATGAGGCGCAGAGCATACCAGTAAGGCGACATGGTAGCTGCCGTTGCTATGGGAGGAGCCGCAGCATTGGGTGGCGGAGGAGAGATTGAGAGGAGGTCGCGATTAATAATGATGGCGAAAGTAACTGGTTATGGGCAGTAGTGTACCTTTTTGGGAGCAGTTAGTGGCGGGGGTACATGCACACACTTTCACATGCGCGATGCTACCGGATACCCTGCAATTGCAGATGGCTCATAGTGAATTGGGAGAATGAGAGGCTCTGTTGGAGTGCGATGCAACATCAATTCATGCGTAATAGAAAATTTTATCTAGGTATCTTTGAATCTCTTGTTTCCTAGGAAAAAGAAAGCATGTCAGGTATTGATTGAGCGGCGCTCTTTGTCAAAACAAAAAAAAAAAAAACTACTTATGTGCCGAGTGCTTGTTCCATGATACTATGGCTATCCCACAGTCATCATATAATCCATTCAAACCAACAATCACTGTCGTAACCAGGAATGGCCTGTCCCATTTTTATAACTGCTTTATAACCACAATGCCCGAATCTCATTCTTCACTCAAGCGAATGAACCGTTGAATGGCTCAATGAAGTCAGTCTTGCCCAGGGGAATGCCCTCCTTGCGCAGAATGTCATACGCAGTGGTCAGGTGGAAGAAGATGGTAGGCATGAAGTGGCCATTGGCGTACGCGACGCCGGGAATGTTAACGGTTCCCCTGCTGCCTAGGCCAAGGGGCACCGTCTCGTTCTGGCGCTGGTTGATGAGGTCCTTGTCGGCGGCGGCCAGAATCTCCTCAGCCTTGGCGATGCGGCTGAAGCAGTCGGCGTAGGTCTCGATCTTTCCCTCCCAGGCATGGGGCTCGATGCCCTGCAGGCGCGAGGCAATCTTGGTCGAGGTGTCGGTGACCATGAAGACCTGGAAGGTCAGGGGCAGCATGTCCTCGTGGATCTTGGCGCTCAGGAGGCTGGCGCCGTTGGCTGCGGCCTCGCCCTTCTTGAGGACGTTGAAGAGAGACTTGAGGCAACTTTTGGCCACGGGGATGGTGGCGTCGTAGAGGGAGTAGCTCATGGTGGGCGGGTTGATGCGAGAGAGTTTGGACTTGGACGAGTTTCAATGATGGCGAGATGGAGGGCGGTTGGTGGCTTGGGATTATCAAACATGTACGAGGAGTGGGAAACCCCCCCGACATTTATATCATGAATCGTGCCTGCGCAGATACCTTCCTGCTCCAACCTCGCCTCCTGAATAGTACGCAGGTGGCCTGGTCGTGGTCCAGATCCACATACTGCTAATGCAAATGGGCCACGAGCTGAGTTGCACTTTGGAGCTTCACGACGCTAAACAGACTCCAGTCCAAGCTCCATTCCGCTTGCTGGCAAACTGAACTGAGCCCCTCTTGCCAAATCGAGAAAGAAGTGCGTATTAGAGACGGAAATATTAGTAGTACCAGGCGGCTTACTAATTAGAATCATCTCGAACCGAGTTCCGCTCTTTGAATGCGGTCAAGCCAAGCGAGAGGCCGGTCCCGTGGAGCACAGACTGCAACAGACAATGTAGCATTCGCAGAGTAGGACGTGGATCTATACGCGGTGGCATCGTCCTATCAGATGCGACGCTGCATGCAGAGCATTGAGGGGAAATAGCATCCATCATCAGGTGGGTTCATGGAAATAATCGAAAATCGCGGTGCAAGCATGCCCGACGACCCGAAGGGAGCCTCAGACTCGACGATCTACGGAGCAGATTCAAGCGGCTTTGGCTGCAGAGAGCGGCCAATCAAGAGTTGACAAGGTCTTTGCGACCAGGATCTTTCTCCGAAGCAACCCTGTAACAGTGCAAGACTATACGTGTACCTAGTCTGTGGCTCGGCACTCGGCCAGGCGTCAGCACTGTATACTATCTCTTTGGTTGACAAATGGCCTCATGCAACGAGCCTCCTGAAACAGTTCCAAGGTTGGCTTACTGATCAAGTCAAAGAGCCAGAGGACTTTGGGCTTAGCAAAGCGCATCTGCGAAGACAGTGTCTTAGTCAGATAGGATTCGCTTTCGCAATACGACAGGATGGGACGATTAACAATCCAAAGGATTGCTGACTTTTGCACCACTGATTAGCAATCCGTACGTTGACCACACAAACAAACAAACAAACATTAAACTAGATGCTACTGATCCAACATGCAGCTGAGCATGAGACACGACTATAGTACAAAGGCCTCTGACAATGGTAGTACAATCTTGACCTTGATACACAATTCGAAGCAAGACATATAACACACTGCGACTCCAAGCTTACACAAGCCCCAAAGTCGCATTAAATTTTTCCACCACCTCTCTGGCGCCCGGCAAAGCTGAAGGATTCGCAGTCAGCTTGTCCAACCCCATTGCTTGCCTGCCCTCGACACTCGTCCACCGCCGCAGCATCTCCTCTGTTGGGCGGTCGATGTGTTTGGATTCGCCCTCGCCGCCGGGGAAATCAGGTCCCGGCGTGCCTGCTAGGAAGGCCTGGCGCTGTCTTACTAGGTACTGGGCATTGAGCTCGGTTACTGGACAGACGGGAATGTAGAGGACACTTGAGTCGGAATGGCCCTTGTGAACTTTATCCACAGCATGAATAGCTGTACATAAGCAGTCAGTATACTGTATAAGATAGAAGGTAGATGGCAGGGTGTAGGAGGCGACTTACTATCACAGTGCCACGCCACAAAAGCTCCAGGCTTGATATCAGGCACATGCGTCATAGTCCTGGAGAGCTCCAAGTGAGGATGAAGTTCATCATTGAGCTCTTGTCCGTGTCCGGGGAAAGCCCCATGTAAGTCACTGGTCATATCATCCTCGCCAGTGAATGCCCAGTTCCTCTCATCCAAGAATTGATCGCCAATCTTGGTATCGTCAATGGGCCTGAAGAACGGCCTCAGAAGAGTGTATGCCGTTGATAGCATCAAGGGATATGTCAAAAGCGTGCCCTCTTCCGGTCCTACTTGGCTCATGGAGACCCAGCCCTGCCAGGCCCTGAACGCACTGCATGCTCCTAGGCCGTTGTGAAGGTCATTGACAGCATCGACTCTTCCAGAAGCCTCCCAGGGGTCGTAGCTCTCCCATTTGCCTTCGAATACTTTATCATAGACATGTCCACGTCCGTATCCGTCTTCCATCCAACGCTCGACGCTTCCGCCGTCGATATGGGGGCCGAGTGCAAAGGCAGCATCGCCGGGTTGTCGGATGCGAAGCCTGTCGGCATAGGAAAGCGGAATGTCGAGCGAGATTGGAGTGTTTGGTGATGCGGAATGCCAGAAGTCTGATAAAAGATACTTTTGCACCTTTAATATGGAAGGATGTGAGCGAGCTCTGATCTGCGGTTCGGACCAGTACAGCTCGTATACTTGAGGGTCGTGAGGCGGGAAGGCTATGTTCGACATTAACACAAGATGCTCTCCCAAGATGGGATTTCTAAACCAGGACTTACCTCTTGTAGAAGGATTTTTGTGCACGTACTCCTCAACGCGCTCCTTATATCCTCGCGCTTCCTGTTCAGGAATTACACCATGCACGACGACAACGCCTCTCTTCTTAATCTCCTCTCTGGCTTTACTATCCAACCCATTCTCCAGGTCAGCAAACTCTACCTGAGGAATAATCCCCGTCCCCTTCCTGGCAATGATTTCGTTTTCTTCCCGCAGCGTCCGCAATAATCTTTTCCAGCTGGCAACGATATCCTTCTCCCGATCCCTGACAAGGTCCAGCTTCAGCTGTCTGAAGCGATCCGGCAGCGGCGCCTGCTCCGCGCCAGACAGCGACACAAACGAGTCTGAAATATCCCCCGTCCTCTTCGTTGCCGGTTTTGACGTCTGCACCGTCGCCAGGCAGCGATGCAAACGGGGAAAGACGGGTGAGACTTTTGTGAAGCTTGAGCGCAGCATTCTCATATGCGTGTAAGAGAGATAGAGGGGCACAGTATAAATAAGGAAAAGGTCACGATCTTCCTTGGATGCTCGTGTAAGAAAATATTATCAGCAACAAAATGAAGATTCCACACACAATGAATTAGATGATTAATTCAGAAAATTTCCATCCGACTCAGAGGAGCCAACTTATCTCTTTTATGAATGACAGAGACGATGGGCCGGTATTACTGCTTTGGGGAGGTCCGCGCCCCGCTGGCGGAAAGTTTATCTCCCTCCACAAAAGTAAGATAGTTCAAACAGTTTAGAGGGGGGCCCTTTTTTTTTTATCTTTTGTCATTAATGGCCTGATTGAAATGGTTTGGATGCGGTGGAATGCCAAAAGTGTGTTTGTTTTGGAGTAGTGCTGAGACAGATAACATTAGTGCTAGCTTTGGGATATTGCGTGCGAATCAAAGGCTGTACAAAATCTAGCATGTATTATTTTGCGAGGTCGAGGAGAAGTATACAAGAAAGTCCTTCGCACTACAACCATATACTACTAGAGTAACGAATCTAATGTAATCCCAAATCCTATAAAGAGAATATTATCATCTCTTCTTTAGCACGGCCTATCATCATTGAAACGTTACAAGTTCAAAATCTTCATCTCTAGCTCTCCCCGTGATATGCCGGAATGCCCATCTTGGAACTGATAGCGAGTGGCCCCCCCTCCCCTTTATTGGGGAATCCCTCAGCCGTGTAACAAGCCCCATCCTTCTGACCGGCACGGCTGTCAATTATGTACTCTGATTGATCACATGAGTGACTCGCACGTCCGAAAGCCGAAGTAGAAAATCAAAATCTTACTCGGAGAGAAGGAAGGAAGGAAGGAAGGAAGAAGGAATGGGGAATCCCCCAAAGGAAGAAAAGAATAATGTTGGAGGCCCGTCATAAATGACGAGCTACCAACTTATTCATGGCGTGATTTAGTGTAAGAACTAACTACCTTATGGAACTGCCGGCTTCATGTTTTTTTCTTCTTCTTCCTTACATCTGATAGGGACGGCTACCTATAGCTGGGTCACATGGGACAAAGTACGTTGGAATAGCATATAGGCTAAAAAGTCGTGATGTTCCATTCGGTCTGTATGATAAGATGCTTTAGAATGGTTCGACTGCCCTATGCCGCCTATGTAAAACGTAATATGAATCCAGAGGGCGTGCTACCTTGGAGGACAAATGTCTTATAGCCTCGGCTCACAAGCCTCATCTATGGCAAATCCAGCTGAGACATTGGCATTGTGTCCTTTCCCTTATCTGCTTCGGGGATATCAGTCGATTTGAATTGTCTCCCCAGACCGCGTAATTCATCCTATTAATTAGCTCTTCCTTGTTCCCCAGTCAAACATCCTTGACAAGTTTCATCCAACTTATCCATGAACAAGGAATATCTTATCAGTGTGCAAAGAGAGAGAGAGCGAGAAAGAGGATATATATACCACATGTTTTTTAAAGCCTCGGCCCAGCTTCAGCCTCATTGTCCTCTCAGCTGGGCATTGATTCTTCTCTTTATACTTTTATACCCGAGAACACAGATACGGCCACATTGCCAAACGCGGTTATCCCCAGTAGGGGGAGAAAGAGACGGCAAATTAAGATAGTAATTACCCCGATGCCATAATTTCGCCGGCACTTCTATTTTAGGCAAATCCGCTCCCCACAAAACTCCAACCATGAACGAGACAAGAAACGCTCACCCGCAAACAGGTGAGGCTAATCTAACACCCAGGTTGTACTAATAAGCAATCAACAACCTTACCCCAAAAAAAGAGACAGCTTCCCACACCCCTCGTCGGCCACGCCACTTTTACATGACGGGCATTATAGCCTAAAGTTTAGAGATATCTCATCTCGTCTCGATCTCATCGCAAGTCTCACTTACTCACTCACATCTCGCCATAGTAGTAGTAGTTCCATATTACACCCCTCCTTCTTAAACAACCTCCTATCAAACATCTCCAAATCCATCTCTAACCCCAACATGACCTCCACAATCAAAGTCTCCCTCCCCCATCTCGCCCAATCCATCGACCACTCCCTCCTCCACCCAACCCTCTCCGACGCCGCCCTCCGCGCCGGCCTCCTCCTCTGCCGCAACTCCTCCGTCGCCTCCGCCTGCATCAAGCCCTACGCCGTGCCACTCGCCCGCTCCCTCCTCGCCGGCTCCCCTGTCCGCATCTGCTCCGTCGTCGGCTTCCCGCACGGCTCGTCCTCGGCCTCGCTCAAGATCACCGAGGCCGCCGAGGCAATCACCGCGGGGGCCTCCGAGATCGACATGGTCATCAACATCGGCAAGGCCCTCAGCGGCGAGTGGAACTACGTCGAGCACGAGATCGAGGCCGTCAACCGCCTCGTCACCGCAAAGGGCGCCATCTTAAAAGTCATCTTCGAGAATGACTTTTTGCAGGACGAGCACATTGTCAAGCTCTGCCAGATATGCACCGACCAGGGCGTGGCCTTCATCAAGACCAGCACGGGCTATGGCTTCGTCAAGCAGCCCAATGGCTTTTACAGCTACCAGGGTGCCACGCCGCACCATCTCAAGCTGATGAGGAAACATGCTGGCCCCAAAGTGCAGATCAAGGCCGCGGGGGGCGTGAGGACGTTGGACGAGCTGCTTTATGTGCTATCGCTGGGAGTGACGCGGGTTGGCGCCAGTGCCACGGAGGCTATCCTGGAAGAGGCCAGAGCAAGAGGCATTGGCGAGACTGAAGTTGAAGTCGAGGTAAAAACACCTCTGGGATTGCAGGAGGGCGCATATTGATGATATGATACCACTAGTAGTCATACTTTTAGCAAGCGATACGGGAAGAATACACACAGAAAACATAAATTATCTATTAAAAAGGTTATCAGACGCAGCTTCGCGATGATGTGTATGCATGACTTCATTATCTGCTCTACCTTTTACGTCTTTCTTTTGTCCATTCCTGGTAAGCACTAAGGAAAACTCCAAGGGTACCCAAGAATAGAAATGGAAAGGGCAGAATGAGGATATGAAAAGGGGGGAGCGGCAACAAAGATAAGAAAAAGAGTAAAAAGCATAGTCCAGCCGCCCAAAAAGTGAGAATTTCAAGCCGCTAGCTCCTGTGCCCTTTTTGAGTCCCCCATGTATTCTTAACAGCAACAACATGTTTCATGCACCAATTCTCTCCAGGCATAACAGTATTCGTAATTTACAAACAAAGATACGCTGTCATTAGAAAGAAAATAGAAGGAATAGAAAAAAAAAATTGGCTCATAATGCAAGCCTGAGGCTCTTAATTTTTTGAATCGTCGATTTTGCTCCATCAACATCCTTCTCCTTCGCACAAAGGGGTGGGGGCTTTATTCAGTGTCTTGGTTAGAGCGCCTCACTTTCTCTCTGAGATCCCTGTTTTCATTTTCCAGGCCACCGAGCCGTTGCCGCGCGGCCTGTCTGTCCTGGTTGCGCCCTTCTCTCTCCATCTTCAGTTTATACTCCATATCCCGGAGTCTCAGCAGCCAGCGGTTATCGTTGGTGGCTGCTGATCCGTCCGAGCCCGAGGCATCCAAGAGACCCAGTCCAGTTCTAGAAGACGATACCGGAATTCCAGAAGAGGACGGCGCACGCGTCGACGACGATGCCCTCCCCTTTGAAGCAGAGCTGTGGGAACGATCCCCAGCGCCGACCTCAGACCCGGGCGTTTGATGGGCCGCGCGAGCACGAACATCATTAGCAGTTCTCAGCGTGGCATTCTCGACTTTAAGCTGACGATATGCCTCTTCAAGGCGCACCATCCGATTCGCTGCTTCGTGAGTACTTAGCGAGCCGGTGGCAACCGAGTTGCGAACCATAGTCTCTAGCCTATCAAGCTTCTTGATCCGCACATCCAAGTTGTTCTCCAGGGCCTGGTATTCCCGATAAAGATCTTTTTCTACTGCTTTGATCTTTGTTTGCAGGGCCGCAAACATGCCCTCGATCGTCTTGACAGCAGCAAGGAGGTTCTTGGAAAATCCTGGCAGACGACTGGCAATGACTTCGAGAGTAGGAACTACCTGACGGTCCACAAGAGTGTTGTTATTCGCCCACTCCCGACCACACAGGTTGCTCAGTTTGTGCCACAAGAGAAGCAGTAGCTCGTTCCTCTCTAGTAGCTGCTCGCGGGCTGTTTGTTCTAGCATGGCAAGCTTCCGGCGATCCTGGCCTCTCGTAGCTTCCAGCTCGTTGATACGAACGTCTTGTGTGCTAGCCGTTCGGGTGAGATGTTGATGTGTCTTTTGGAACGACTCATATTGGGATTTGGTGTTGCGGTGAGCAACGCGCTCCTTTTCAAGCAGCTCGGTGATCTTTCGTGTTTCCAAGGCGTGTGACTCCATAAGCGAATCACGCTGCTTGATGATACGATCTTTCTCAACCAACGCTGCCTTAGATGTGTCAAGCTCACGAACAGTGTTTTCAAGCTCACGCTGCATCCGAGCAATAGACTGCAAAGAAGGACTAGGTTAGAACAAGAATAATTTGAGGTGTTAGAGAATTGGGCATGTCGTACCTTTAGCAGCGAAGAACGGGTGCCATTCAGGTCACCCAATGCTTCCCTCAGGTTGTTCTCCAGTTCCAACAACCTCTCCTTCCACTCTGTTGCCTCGACTTCGCGAGACGACAAGCTCTTACGCAGCCGCCTGACTTCGTCCTTGGCACCGGCATTCTCACGCTGAAGGTTGGCAAATATTTGTTGGACATCTGCCTCCTTCTTAGTGGTAACGTCCTCCCATTGCACACGTTCCTCTTGCATGCGATTCTCCAGCTCCTTGACCCGTTCCTTTTCATCCTCCAAGCTTCGCTCCACATTAGACATTGCCGCCTCTAAATCACCAATGCGGATCTTGTCGGCCTCCTGCTCTTCCCGGAGGAACGAGATTTCGCCTTGTGATGACTCCTGCTGGACAGAAAGGCGCTGGTTCTTCTCATTAGCCTCGAGAAGCTTCTGCTCCAAGTCCTCTAGCTCCTTGTTGGAAGACTCTTGCTCCTTCTCCAAGTGCTGAATGCGATGTATGTGATTAGCCTGGTCGTCCTCAAGCTGTTGGATGTGTCGAAGCTTGTGTTCTTGTTCGTCTTCCAGGCCGAGCAGCGCCTCGCTCATCTGTCGCATCTCCTTTTGCAGACTTTCAAAGTTTTCAGATCGGTCGTTCAAATCGGCCTGCATCCGCTGAACCTCTGCCTCTAGAGTGTCAATCTCCATCTGAGCTTCGTTGCGAAGGTCCTCAAAATTGGCTTCCATTTCACCATGCTCCCTTAATGCTTCGTCACGCTCCGACTGTAAAGCAATGAGATCGTTTGTGGCGTTATCGAGCTCTTCCTGCATGCTCATAAGAGCCTCCTCGGCCTCACGCTTCTGACCAATGGCCAGCTCGAAATCAGCCATGCAGCTCTCCAGCTCTCGCTGCAAATCCTGATTCTGCAACTTCACCTCGTTGAGCTTATCTCGCAGCTCAGCCATTTTGTTTTCCAGTTCTTCGCGTTCCGCTTCGTCTTCTGCTGACAGCTGCCTAGTCCTATGGCTACTTCTTGAGCTCGGTCTTTCGTGACCGCCAGCACGTGAAGCTGACCGCTCCAAGAGACTGTCGATGGTAGAGGGAGCTGGACCGCCACGACGCTGAGCCATCTTGAGATCTTCAATCTCCTGATATAGGCGCTCCTTTTCGCGGTTTCTAGACGTCAACATTGAAGTCTGAGCTCCCACTTCCCGGCGAAGCTCGGCGTTCTCATGGCGCAGCGTTTCACTCTCACGACGTAGTTCTTCCACCAAAGTGCTGGCCGCACTAAAGTTGGCATGCGAGCCATCTGCCTCGCCAGATACACTGGACATGGGTCTGCCTGGTGAGGCATTCCGATCCCGTGGCTTCTTGTTGATGTTGTAGATGTTGGTTGTGTGATGCATCAGCCCTGAGCCAGCGCCAGACATCTCCTTCTTGAGTCGGAAAACCTCGTCTCGCAGCTTTCTATTGTCCTCGTCGGACTGCTCTCTGCGCGCGGTCTCTTGCTCCAATAAGTCTTTCCAAACATCAGCCTCCTCTTGCCGACCATAGGCGTCTCCAGAACGCTCACCGAGCGTCTTGACAAGAAGCTTCTTCTCTGACTCTCTATCCATACCCTCGCCTCGGAGTCTCTCGATTTCAGTGGCATAAGTTTCGACGCGCTCTCGCAAGAACATGAGCTCATCTTCTCGCTCCTGAGCTTCTTCATTGTACATCCTGGCGGTCTGGTCCGTTGAAGATGCAGCACTGCGCGCCGTGCTCGGTCTTTCCTCATCTTCTTTCTCTTTCTTCTCCAGCTCTTTGACTCTTTTCCGTAAAATCTTGTTATCACGCGTCGTAATGGCGAGATTTGTCCTTAATTCAACGTTTTCAGAAATCATTTCTTTGAGCCCTTCTTCAGACAAAGTATCTAGTCGTTTACTTAGAAACATGACCTTGAGCTTCAGGTCAAAGTTTTCTTTGGACAGCCGCTCAATCGTGCTACTTTGTTCCTTTAGTGTCCAGTTCTTGTTCCCACCCTTGCCCGGAGTCTTTGAGCTGTTGGTAGCAGTGGCCGCGGATACGGACAATCGTGGCGTTGATAGGCCATTTTCGAATTTGAACTCTTTCGCAACTGAATCAGGGACATGGACATTCTTGACATGCTGGGCTATGACTGTATCTGTAGGGGCTGTGCTGATGCTATCTTTGGTTTTCGGTGTCACCATCTTGTAGCTGTCTCTACCACGTGGAGGAGTGTTCACCTCAACCAGCGGTTCCAGTTGGCGTGTGTTATCTCCAAACTCGTCAGTACCCATGCCCGAAGCCATGCTGCCCATACTTATTGATCGCAAGAGCAGGTTAGATGGTGCCCGAGGCATACCCATATTCGGCACCGCTCCACCGGAAAGCACCGCAAAGTCCAGCCCCAGCCCTACAGTTCCTGTAACATCAGTAGTCTCCTCTTGCAGCTCGGGGTTGGTGGCGAAGGATGAGGTTGAAGATCGCTGGCTGCTGAAGCGGTTGGTGCGCACATATTTGGGACGCCTGTTGCGCAGGGCAAGTCCAGCATTGCCACCAGCATCAGCGCGCTCTGAAAGGGGCTGAGACTGCGAGTCATCTCGATTATCTTTACTGCGTTCTTCCTGTGTCCCAACCCTAGGCGTATCTTGATTGCTGTGATTCGAAGTCGCAGCGCGCGAGATGGTCCTGGCAGCAGCAGCTGCCGCGGGCGAGGAGTCGAAGCCTTCTAGATTCGATGTGGTGTTGCTGGCTCTCGTCAGATCTTCTTCAGACTCAGGATGAAAGTCGAATTCTTCTGTGTAATCCTGCCCTGGTTCGTATCTCGGCTCGTACCGTGGCTCGTATCGTTCCTCGGGCTTCGACCGGGACGGCGGCTTGGATTGGGCTCCAGGCAACATGGGGCTCTTGGAAGGCCGAGAAGGCGGCTTCGAGGGCGAATCAAAAACAAAAGTATCGTCAAGGCCCCCCTCAGGGTTGGTAGAGCCCGTGGGAATCGGCGACAGAGACGGCAGAAAGCTGGACTCGTTTTCCTTGAAATGCTCTCGAACTGCGTCCTCTGAGATGGTGTCGTCTACATTCAGCGTCTGATCCAGAGCTGTCGTTTCGAGGTAGCTATCTCTCTGGGACAGCGCGGGCGATGCCCCGCCAACGCCCGGTCGAGATGAGGTCGAAAGCTGCGCCGATGCTGCGGAGAGTCTGCTATTAGGAGCTGCTGTGGCATGCTTAGGAGGCGCCGGCGCATTGCCGTTCGATTCAGATCGCTGT